ATATATATATTTATGTATGTATGGTAAATGTTTCTCTTTCTATATATGAAAATTGAAAAGTATCGTATGAAAGTTTTATATGTGCAGTAAAACTCGTAAAGAATTATATTATAAATATTTTTATTTTTGTGAAGGAATACGAGTTTATTAAATTTTTTGTTTTTATATATGCTTCAGATTTTTTAACCTATTGTCAAAATGAGTATACTTCGAAATTGAAGATACGTGAAGAGCAGGTTGAAGGCCGTCGCCTTCGATTAGAAGAAAAAAAAGCTATACTTGAGAAAATGGAGAACCTGCCAGTTCTGGTACCTACAAAGCCTGAAAGGAAAGAAAAAAAGCTGGAACGAATGCAAGGAGCAAAACGTTCAGAGCAAGAACAAGAATCGGAACAATTACCTTATCTGCCAACACCAGATGAAATTATTCTACAGAGAGAAGGTACCTATCCGATATACATTCATTAAAATTTTGAATCCTTTATTAAAAATAATTTATATTATTATATTTCAGCATATGTTAAAAAGATAATATTTAAATATATTTAAAAACTTTCTACACTGTATTTAGTATACCATAGTAATATATTGTTAATATAAATGTAATAAAAACAAGATAAAAAAAAGATAAAAGAAAAAAAGCTAAAAATTTTATTTAAATGCCTTTTCTAATTAAAAAAATTGAAATCTCTAGATGTTCAACTTTACAGGAATTAATTCTTTTTTATATTAATTTATTTAATTTTATTGAATCCTATTCCATCTTAAAATTAATGTAATAATGAAGTTATTCTAGTAAATGTTTATTTTTCTTGTTTTTAGAAGAATCTCGAAAGGAAATTAGAAAATTGCTATTCACACGCTGCGAAAAGACAGAGATAAATTTACGAAAATACAAAATACTTGGTGGCGTTTTACACATCGATTTAGTTTATCAGCCACCGCAACCAAAAGATATGAGAAGAGATATTATGCTTACCACATGTAAGCAATAATTATTTTGATATAGTAATTTGTCACATAAATGTGTTGTTAATGTTATCATTAAATGTTAACATTATTTTGTTTGCAGTGCAAATTCCTAAAGAATTGAAATCTGTACCATTTTACAAGCCATATAAAGC